CCCCTCAGTGTTGCCCCCGCGCCTCGCTCAGCCGGTGAGCGGGAACCGGTCTGTATGTAGGATCCGAACCCTCGGTGGGAGCGCCGCCACACTCCCAAGCGGCGCACTGTAGCAGTGCGCCACCGGGCCGGCCCGGCTTACCGTTTCTTGACTGATAAATAAAAGATTCTGTTTCTTCTAAATGGGAAAGTCAACTCTGTAGAGTCATGTGGTGATAGTGTATAGAAGCTTGGGAAGTTTTGCTTTAGGGTTTTGCCCCAGGGATAGGGGCTTGGTTGTTTAGCATTTGAGGTGCGCTGTTTAGCATTTGAGATGCCCTTTCCTAGAAGCCAGCACTCGATGTATCTGGCATGGGGCATGTTTGCATTGGGGAGTGGGCTGCCATGGGAAGAGAGAAAGGGATGTTGACACCTGGTGCAGTTCCAGTAGACCTTGAATGAATCCTTTATTTTTGCCTCCATCAACCCCCCATTTCTTACATCCTTTGTATCTAAACGAAGAGGTATTCCAGGAATGCTTCTGGTAGATTTGTCCTTGCTTCCAGTCTAAGTCTTGTCTTCACTATTTGGAGCTGTCACATACTTAATTCTTCACCTGATAGCAGTCCTACTGCCTCTGTCCCCCTCTTGGTGCATGTGAATGAACATGCTGGGTGAAGTGGGTAGAAGACTGCTCTCTTGGCAATCAATTCCTGTGTCACTATCTTTGTCTCTAAACTAGAACTGACAGTCTTTCACTAGGTCAGTTGGCCATATATTGCCTTTATTTAGTTAGCTTTTAAAAACTGCATTTGTAATATTAATACAGAAATTTGTATTTTTAAAAAAAATACACAATTTAATAAAAGGTCAAGGAAAGAGAACTTGGCAATAACCCAGTAGCCTCCCTGTGCTCCCTTCCCATTGTCAGCTTCCTCCTCCACCCAGATCCTGCTATTCTGACTTTATGGTAAGAAGGCCCTTTTTTCCTTCATGCTTTTATCATTTATGTGTGCATTCCTGATGAAAGTAGTAAATACTGCTTTTGCTGCATCCCACAGGTTTTGATACATTGTTTTTTTATTTTTATTCTGTTCAAAGTATTTGAAATTTTCATTGTAATTTTTTCTTTGAACCATGGGTTTTTAGAAGAGTGTTGTTTAACTTTCAAAAGCTTGGGAATTTTTCAGGTAGCTTTTTGTTATTTGTTTCTAGTTTAATTCTGATGTGGTAAGAGAATATACTTCATACAACTTCAGATTGTTTTAAGTGTGTTGATACTTGTATTATGACTCATCATATGGTGTGTCTGGGTAAAAGTTTTCATGTGAACTTCGTGTTCTATAAACGTCATCTTGATTTAGGTGGCTGTTCATGATGTTCAGGTCTTCTATACCCTTTTTGACATCCAACCCACTCATTATCTCAATTGCTGAGAGAGGAAAGTTGTATAAGCATAATTGTGGAAATGTCTTTTGTCTTCAATTTTGTCTGGTTTTGCTTCATGTATTCTGTAATTAGGTTCATATGTATTTAAGATTAGTACTGCTTCTTGATTAATTGACCCTTTTATAAACATTTTGAAATGTCCTTTTTGATCTGTAGTAATATTGCTTGTTCTGAAGTTAATTAGTCTGATAATAATTGGCTCTTCCCTTTATTTATACTTTTTAAATTGGTACAGTTAGACTATTTCCATTAAATGTTGTTATCAGTGTGTCAGGGCTGGAAGATATTTTTGCTGGGTATAGTATTCTAAGTCCATAAGTAGGTTGATTTGCTTATTTTGCAGTGTCTTCTGGCTTACATTGTTTCTGACAACAAATCCAGATCCAGTGTTATTTTTGTTGCCCTATAATTAATGTGTCTCTTGTTCTTTTGTTGTTTTTAAAATATTTTCCTTATGAATGGTTTTCAGAAATTTGACTTAGGAAATGTTTTGATGTGGTTTCTTTTGATTTTGATCTTACTTTGACTTTGTTGAGCTTGCTGGCTCTGTGGTTGTGTACTTTTTATCACTTATGTAAAACTTTCTGCCATTAATTTTTCCCCCAACTCTTCTCTTGGACTTTATTGGAATCCAGTTTCCTGTATGTTGGGCCAATTGATATTGTCCCACAGGTCACTGAGGCTGTGTTCATTTTTTCCCTCCAGTTTTTTCTTTCTGTGCCATTTTGGATAGTTTGTATTGCAGTGTGTCAAGTTCACTGATTTTATATTAAAATTTTTTGTTTTCACCTTTTTTTTTTTATCTGTAGGGTTTATTCTTTTACTAATCACATCCAGTGATTTTTTCATTTCAGATCATGTAGTTTTTACTAGTTCTATTTGTTCTCTTTATATTTTCCACTTTTCTATTTTAAGTGTATTGTATTTCTTTTAAATATTTGAACATATTTATCAAAGTACTTTTAATGTCCTTGCCTGCTAAATACTTTCGTTTGATTATAACCCACTTGGTTATAGGGTTACAATCTGCTACTTTTCTTCATGTCTAATAATTTCTTTAGGGGTGTTGGACATTTGAAATGTTGTGTTGTTGAGCATTGGGATTTTGTTGATGTCCTTCAAAGAGTGCTAAAGTTTGTTTTGGTAAGCAGATGTTGAGAATGGGTCTATAATAGCCTTTATTGTAGGACTACCTCAGACTTCCCAGTAAGGGTCACCTTTTTTGCAGGTTTTATTGATTGCCCCAGTGTTTGAGAGATGGCTGGATGGATTTTAACAACTTTATCCCTTTGTGATTTCTCAGAATTGTTTACATGTGGATTTGTGTTTAGCCAATGACTTAAGGACCCCCACCCACTTCTGAGTAGCTCCCTCCTTGCCTGCACTCTGTTCCACAGAGTCCAGCTACTCCACCCTCCCCAACTCCACTCTGACTCTCAACTTTGCAAAACTGTAGCACTCTCCTTGGTTCTTCTTCGTACACCCTTGTCCACACATTGCTTTCAGGAATGAGGGCAGGGTCCACGCAGGGCCCCTTGTCTGGTTTTTTTTTCTCCCAAAGTAAAGTGTTACCTCTGTCATTTTATCTTCCCAGAATCCCGTTTGTATGTCCTTTTTCAAAGTTAATAAATTACTTTCTTACATGTTGTCTGTAAATGTAAATGTGAATTATTTTTTGCTTGTATTTTATATAGAAGTTTTTCAGAAGTTAAGTTTTTCCTGAGTTTTTAAATAGTTTCCATTGACTGTGTCCTTACCTCTCTCGTAGGCCATGCTGGAGTATCTGCAAACATGATGAAGAAGAGGACATCTCACAAGTAAGCAATTCTGAAACTTGTTTTCAGATGGCATATTGTGACCTTCTACTACCTAGCGTACAGAGATCACCTAGGTGAGGCCCTCTTCCCTGTGAATGAGGGGGTTCTTAGTTTACCTAGCCTCGATGCATGGTGAGTAATGGTGAGTAGTCCTATTTTCTGTCCATTCCTTCTTCTTGGCCTGGCTGAAGTGTGCCAGGTCTACCCTTCAGCCTTTAAAAACCTTTGGGTCCTGATATTTTCCCTTTAGCTTATCGGGACCTTGCCTGATGAAAGAAAATATCAGTTGTGGTAAGAGTAACAGGAGCTTAGGGAACCTCTCCCACTTTTCTGCATGGTCCTGATGTGCAGGGTTCCTCTCCTGGTCTTCATGCGCTGTTAGATGAGGGACTCCTTTTGGGCAGAAACCATGTCATATGCTGGGAGGGCCTGCCTAGCATGCTGTCATGTCTCTTACTGCTTTGTAACATTTCTAAATGAGTGAAAAGCTTGTAATTTAGAGAAAGCACATCCATGTTAAAAGATAAATACGGCCATGTATTTCAAGTGACAGCTGTATTCTCCATCCTAAATTCTGTAAGTATCAAAGTACAGAAGCCACTTTTTTTCCCTGAACGCTTTTGTGTGTGACATAATTAAATCCAAAAAAGAAAACCAAGACACTATCTTAAATTATAATATCCACTTTTACTTTGTTATGTATAAAAAATTTCACAAGTATTCACCATGTACTGGTGACTGCTACTACATCCTGAAACTGTTGCTGTAACAATCCATTTTGTTGGCCTCACCCAGGCCAAGGAGAAGGGAATGGACAGGGAACATGGCTACACACCATTTTGATAGCAAGAGTCATCTTAGTCGTAGATTACTCAACACAGAGAAGACCCTCTTTGACCCTAGCACTGTATGAGGCACTCATTCTAGCAGTTAATTCCAAACTATTCATAATGAAAACTTGTGCCCCCAAGTCACCACACTGTAGTGGCTGAAGAGGGTGAGAGGCCTCATGGCCATGGAGAAAGGCCTGGATGAATAGGAGTGCCCTTCAGTAATTGTTAGTGATTGAACCAAACATATCTCCCTTTCAAATAATACACAATATATAATGCAACTATTTGTAACAATCAGCTTAGGAAATGACCTGGAAAGTAAAAATGCAAAGGTTTGGTAAGTATGCTCTTGTTTCCCTAAGGTTTAGTAAGGTTTCTCAAATTTATTTATTTGCTAATTGCCTTCATGGTTTTGCCATATCCAATGATCTGATAATTTATGTGATCTGTCTGTACTTATTATCGTATTATTACCATAAATGGTAAACCGTCTCTGCTGCAAGTAGATAACTGTAAAAAAAGAAATATAAGTCATAAATATTAGGTAATGATAATAACTTTACTTCAGTGGAGAGAAAAAGCAAATTAAATATAAAATTTGCAAGATAAAAACAGTTCATTCAAAATAGATTTTTGCCAATTGAGTTAAAATAAAAGGCTTTGAGAGAGTGAACGTACGTTCTATTTTAGCCATTTTTACATACTGTTAAATAATCATCTATCATTAAAAAGTTCACTCACTTAGGATTTCAGACATTCGTAGGTTTGAACCCTTGGGCGTGTTATTAATGTATTTTGTTCAGGGAAATTTTATGTTTCTCATCCTAAACAATGCTATTTATTAACTCATGGATTTGATTTCCTAAAGCAAAAGAAATAAGTACCTACCTATTAAAAATTTTTAAAAGTTCATATGCATTGGGCCGGCCCCGTGAGGCCCCATAGCTCACTCATGAGAGTGCAGTGCTGATAGCGCCGACGCCGCGGGTTCGGATCCTGTGTAGGGATGGCTGGTGCGCTCACTGGCTGAGCATGGTGCAAACAACACCCCTAGGGGGGGGGGGGGGGGGAGAAAGTTCATAGGCATGCCAACTGAAAGAATCTCTTGTCCTGTATGTTCCACATTTCAGGGAACTTGATTTAGTGCTTTAACAGGTATACTTGTCTGGAAGACTAGAAGCCATGAACACTTTACTATGTAGGAAAAGGGAGAAGTTGATGTGAAAGGAAAACTTACCAATCTTATTTTCCCTATTCTCAATGTAAATATGAAGACGGTAGAGAGAAAAAGAAAAGATTGAAAACAGGAGTTTCCAAATTCACAAATGATGATATTATTGTCTTTCAAATGGAGTGAGTAAGGTGGATGCATGAGCTTTGCAGAGGCTGCCTGTTTAGAGAGGTGGCCCTCCCAGGGGCTGCTCTGAGAGTTTGGAAGCCTGCTGGAATTCAGCTGTGGGGTCTTTGCAGGTTCCTTAATGTGTCTGGGAACTGGCTTACTTATGTCTGAAATCAAGGTATTGGGCTAGAATGATGAGGTTTTCAGCTTTTCAACATAGACTCCTTTCTATAAACAAGATTTTTATGGAAACCAAATATTAAAAGAACAAAACTATAGTGCCTCTCTTTCCTTTGCTGCCTGCCTCTAGCTGTGACTTGATGGAGTTACAAGGAGTAAGATCCCTGTCAGCACTCATCATGTGTAGCCACCAGACTTGACATTGGGGCTCCCATGAGGGTGGGCAGTCTCCTGCTGCGTCCCATGTTAGTGCAGGAACACTGATAAAGAACCTCATGTGCAGGTGCCCTAGTTGCTTGAGGAAAAATTCACAGAATTGCACTCAGAGAGCAGCAGCACCTGTCCCTATAAGGTGTTAGGAAGTTCAGGGAGTCATGTCTGAAGTAGTGAAACCGCACAGGAAACATTATGTAGCTGGATTTTTGGTTTTGTGTTTTAAGTAAGTAGAAATAAAATTGTGTGCTTCCTGTGGGCTGGGTACCTTGCTGTGTAGTTTGTAGGCAAGCTGGTGGACAAGCCTTTCTGGGCTTTCTGTGAAGTTGTTTGGGAAATGCTTTTGCATTAAAAGTACATCTTGAAGGAAAAATATAGTTGGGTGGTGAGTGTATAAGAGAAATTTAGTTATAGTGTTCTTTGTTTTAGTTTTAAGATGCAAGTCCCTTCCTCCCCTGAATTTGAACGTACATCTTGAAGGAAAAATATAGTTGGGTGGTGAGTGTATAAGAGAAATTTAGTTATAGTGGTTCTTTGTTTTAGTTTTAAGATGCAAGTCCCTTCCTCCCCTGAATTTGAACAGGGGATAGATTTCCATTTCAAGGTACTGTTAAAAGGGGTGACTGGGCTTTGGTATATTTTTTACTAACTTAACATTTAGAAGGTAGACTAGATCTACTAAACACTAAATAGGTGTATTTCCAGGGATTTTTTCCTTCCTTTTTTACAAGACACAGATACTAATCAACTGACAAAGAATGTCATTGTGCTTTTCCTCCTCATCCCTGGTGTGGTCTCATGTAGTTTTCATGGTAACCCTGTCAAATCGGAACTATAAGCCCTTATCCCAGATGAGGAAACTGATGCATAGAGAGGTTAAGAAACTTGTCCACGGTCAGCAAATAACAGGTAATTGAGCCTAGGATTCAGAAACAGGACAGTCTGGGCTAGAGCCCATGTTATTAACAACCAGCACATTAACTGAACTGTATGTTTTGTTGTCTCATCTAAAAAACGAGTTATTTCAGTCATAAATATGCAGACTGGATAACTGGTGCAGGCATCTAAAGGCACCATGGTGTTGGCAGTCTTAAGTCGGTCAGAACATTCAATACTTATTTCATTACCTTGCAGTAACTCTGTCATTCATGCCCAAAAAGTGAATAGCACTTTTGAGGTCTCTCAAGTGTTTGAATATTTGCCATATTTATTCTTGATTATTTTTCTCCTCTATCCCCTTTTGGAATCTCATTAGATGAATGCCAGCTATGTAGTCATTTAATCATAAAGATACATTGTTATTTAATCAATGTGACCTATTATTGAACTTTTTAAAATTTATTTTCAATTTCCCCTATTAGCTATAACTTTGTGCACCTCCATTATTTTCTTTTGATAAATTTAAATTTCTAGATGTGGATTCATTGGGATAATGGTTACTCCAAATGGTAAGGCTCTGGGTGTATATTGGCAAGTCGTTAACTAGAAAGGCTGTGTCTATTCTATAAGCAGGTAGAAAATAGTACCTCACCATAATTTGCATTAAAATAAATCATCAAAATTTGAAGTCTTTGTTACTGTTTTTTTTTGTCTTTTTTCGTGTCCGGCAACGGATCTCAACCCTCAGTGTCGTGCCCGGACCGGACCGGGACCAGCAACGGGATCGCAACCCTCGGTGTTGCACCCGCACCTCGCTCAGCCAGTGAGCGGGAACCGGTCTGTATGTAGGATCCGAACCCTCGGCAGGAGCGCCGCACTGTAGCAGTGTGCCACCGGGCCGGCCCTGAAGTCTTTGTTACTGTTAATATTGAAAGGTCATTCTATCAGGCGGGAGCGCTGCCGCACTCCCAAGCGGCGCACTGTAGCAGTGTGCCACCGGGCCGGCCCTGAAGTCTTTGTTACTGTTAATATTGAAAGGTCATTCTATCAACAGACCAGAACACTTGGGAAATTTCTGGAAGATCTCAAACAGATGATAACATTTATATCAAAACTAAGCTGAGAAACTCTAATGCTGAAAAAGACCTCCAAAAAGTACATAGTCAAAATAGATCATAGAATATTGTCAGGATCAGAGATAGCAAGGGCTGGATAGGTTGGCATAATCCCCAAAGTTAATAAAGGGTGAGAAAATTAGTAGGACAGAGCTGGCACTGGAACAGAAGATGCTCAGCTTACCTCCTCTTGACTTCAAGTCACCTCTCACTTGCTGGCTGCTGTGTAGCTATTTGGATCCTGGCTTCTGTTGTCACAACATGCACTTATTGCTCAGAGGCCAGGGACTCTGACTTGGGTTGAAGACAAACACCACACCTGCAGATGCCACTTAATCTTGACTTTGCATTTACAAATGTAAATGCTACGAGTCATCAGGCACTTAGGAAACACTGCGAGCATGGGAGATGGTCACTGATCATAACAGAGCAAAGCAGGAA